CCTTTTGGTACTGCTAATTCCAGCCCTCAGGTCAGTAGCACAAGCTACTATACCTTTGCCTTCAGCTACTATATGTTGCTTAACTTTGCAATTACTTTATGTAACCTAAAATGACTTTGGATTACAGCTTGTTAAAAGATTCCTTGGAAAATTAAAGTATATGGTATTGTGACTCTAATCAGAAGATCCAAAGGCCATAAACCTCAAGGAATCTTTGCAATGTGAATTTCCCTGTTTCTGCGAGTCAGTTCTCAAGATAAATGTGGGATCTTTCAAAGACAAAGAGATAGGTATCTATAGGTACCAAGGTACAACTTGCATATTTAGAAGCAGTAGTATTTCTTTCTAACTTAGTGATAAAATCCCAACAGATGGTCAAGCAGACTAGAAGATGGGTTAGATGGGAGTAATGTCACCAGTCCTGTGACTTTGCTGTTAAGCAACTATATATCAGCATGTATTTACTAATTGCAGTGACTCATAGCACAAATACACTGAGCAATGAACACTTAGGTGCTCTGATCTCTATTATCTTAAAACAATTTAGAGGATTTATAATTATTTTCTATAAAACTATGTTTATTTAGTATGTGGGATCCTTCTAAAGGGGTGTTCACTGTCCTAGAAAAAAAATGGGAAAAGTAATATTTTATATTTTGGTGAGGCACTGAATAGGTTGCCCAAGGAAGTTGTGAATGCTCCAACCCTGGAAGTGTTCAAGGCCAGGCTGGACAGAGCCTTGGGCAACATAGTTTAGTGTGTGGTGTCCCTGCTTAGGGCAGTGGGGTTGGAACTAGATGATCTTAAGGTCCTTTCCAACCCTAACTATTCTATGATTCTATAAATATATTTATATATAATTTTTTTAATGGTAACAACTGAATGCAAAGTACAATTGCCAGGGCTTTCTGGAAGTAAAAGAACTATGAACTGATGGCATGGAATCTTCCTGGTAGAGTGATAAGAGCTTGGCAGCAACTTAGCTGAGATCTCCTGAGGTCCACAGATGATTTCAATGAATATAGTTACTCCTTCTCCTGACAGAAAGGACATCCTCCCTCCACAAACCCATTCACATGAAATACCAGATGAAACTCCCTGCAAGCTCATGTACTGTGAAAGTCCAGAATCACTTATGTCAACGCTCCTGAGGGAGCACTGCAGGAGCAGGAGATGATGTGAATTCCACTGCCATTACAATGCAGGAATATCTATTTCTATGTATTCCTACAGCAGTTGGATCCATCTGAAGTTTGAGATATAACCCAGTCATGTCTTAACTTTTTAAGACAAAGACTCTTCTGTCTATGTATCTATTCCAGACACATTTTCTCCAATTTTCCCTTCCTCATCTGCAAAGCCAGGAATTGCAGACACCTTCATTTAATTTTAGCTGCATTGTTTCAATTGAGAAGAAAAAACAAATAAATATACACTCAGGACTTCAAACTGTCCTATCCTACAATAAAACTACAAAAATAATATCCTAACTAAAATTCCTTTTTTAAAAAAATCTTTTATTTTAACATTTTTCCATTTTCTATGATAAAGCAGGACCTAAAAAGAAGAACATTTGATACAGCTTCTTATTTGATACCCATCAGCACCATGTTTGTAATTCTGCTTTCAGTGGTATTTGCTTCCTTCCAAAAGCAGTGACATTTCCTTCTTTCCCCACTTTTCAGAACAGGACAATATTGCCCCCAACTTGATGACTTTATTCAACTTGTTTTTTAGTTGTTCTGAAGTGTGATCCAAGTTCCCATGGTTATGAAGGCAGTCCAACTATCTCCCTCCAGCACTCAACACTAACCCACTAACCCATCTTTTTAGTTATCACTGTAGCAGGATTCAAGGATTAAATTGCAGTTAGCGAATTCAAGCAAACTCCAGTCAAAGGGTTGTACTCCATGAATGAATGTGAAGTGTTGACTACTACCTGAGCCCAGAGACATAACCTCAAATAACATTAACCTGTTTCCACGAAATGCAAAATAACAGCAAAATATTACTCTTCAGCTATTTTTGAAAGCCCTATTTTCTTACCATATGTAGAAGTTACTATAAACCACAGCATCTGAAAAAAATCTGCAGTTGGTATCAATAGTGATATACCCGTGCTCTGCATGGAATGTCCTTTGGCTTTCTGCTCCGTTTTGGCTTCACTTCCAGTTCTTCTTTCCTGTTCATCTCCTCTCCTGGTTCCACAGTCTCCTCTGGGATTATTCAAAAACCTTGCCAAAAGTAGGAAATGCTACCAAAAATGCTATGTACTGCCAGAAGCCAGCTTCAGTCACAAGTCCTTCTAAGAGTTAAACTGAATATGGCCTTGTTTTTAACTAAGTGTGACTAGACTGTCTTTGTAGTCATCACAGATCTGAACCACGATACAGAAACACTCCTGAAGAACACGCTAAAGACCCGAGTCATGTTTTACCTACAGTCCACCAATGCTGAAGCTGTTGGAAGTACCGTGACAAGGTAATCTGCTATGTGATGAGACACGTCCTTACAGTCAGAAGCTGGGAAGACCTTTTTGCTCCTTAGACTGTAATGCAATGACATGTAATTCATGCAACCTCAAATAACATTTGAAAATGAAACAATCCAAGTTAGTCATGCTCCGAAGTAGTTATTTAAGCACTTCATCACTGAGGATTCTTGAAAAAGCCATATAGACACTTCCCTAATAATAGCATTATAGCCACCCTTGACAAGCTTACATTCATTAATATAGTCTTCTTTCCTATTCACAAGGATATGATAAATCATCATAGGTTGAATTGTATTTTCTAAATAATAGGTTATACAAGAAAGCAATCACAAAAAGATTTACTCAAATCTAAGCTTCAAATTCCTTCCTTCTTATCCACACAGCTTTAAAAATGCAAGTTACATATATGAAAGTAAGGGCAGTAAGTCTCAGATTCAGCAGCTGTGCCTGACAGTATGAAATCAACTTAAATAACCAGATGGTACACACCAAGTCCATATATATAGAAGATACAAAACCATATGTGGCTCAATTGCAACTTTAAAAAGAGAAAATAATTGCACAAACTAAACAAAAAGGCATTTTTAATGCCTTTTTTTCAATGCCTTTTTTCATTAAAAATGTCTTTGTTCTATGCAAATACAAATTGTCTTGAAGTGAATAAATAAGCTGAGCTGCGTTGTGCAGTGATTCCATTAACCTCGCAATCAAGCATTAAATTAAATGGCCTTGTTTGGATTTCCCTGCTGCAGGGGAAAATGTACCTTTTAAGGTCTGTGCTTTACGTTGCCAGAGCCACTGAGTAAAAGCTTCACCACTAAACTTCTACAATTAACAACACAAGAAACTAACCAAGTCAGCATACTGCAAAAATTCCTCTGATAACCTTTTAATGATTAACCTTATATTCAAAGGTTCATAGCCTCTCACACTCCTTCTCCCATGCATTCAATTAACACCTGCTTTGAACAAGTTAAACGTAATCTCCGTCGTGTACCCATAAAGCAGCTCCGCATTCATGCTTGCTGCCTCCAGTCACACCATGAAGACAGTGACTCATTTCCATACTGTTTTATTCAACTCCTTTTCCTTATGCCAATTTTCACCCTGAAAAACTGCTGCTCAAACCAAAATTATTTTTTCTGTTTAAACTGCATGTCATGATTGCCCAGCAACCAGAAGAGTCATTTTTAAATCACTGCCTTATTGTCAGAAAACTCTGTATAAGGCAACTAGGCTTCTACTCTAAACAGAAAAGACTAAATCAAAACAACATATAATAATATCACCAATTCTGGGACTAAAGGGTAATTTGTCTGTGATCCCGTGTTGCAGCTAAATTGCCAACCATACAGAGTCTTTATTGTAAAGTCCATCCCCTCCATATGAACTCAAAGAATGATTTTTCAAAACTGAAACAATGGAAACAAACTACATTTCAGTGTATCACAGTCCAGTTCAAAGTGGAACATATTTAAACACACAACTAATCTCTCTTGTGGAATATATGTAATTGGTCCTGATGTGTGGTGTCTTCAGGGAAGAAGCTTAGCAAATAAAACGTGAGAATAATTTACATGCCAAGAAAAATTGTTGCAAGCACAAAAAATACTGGACGGGAGAAGGAATCAAGGATGAAGAATGTATCACCAGCTCTCCAGAAGGCTGTTACTTAAACAAGAATATAATCTATATTATTGCATGTTTAAATATACCAACCTGCTCTTTACTAATATCAAGAGAACACCAAAGCGAATTTAGTACAGCTTTCTTTAAAGACAAGGCTAGATTCTCCAGCACTCGTAATCCCTTAGTAATCTATGCATCACAATCAAGTAAGTATCAGTCTTATCAAACTTAGATAACTCTATTATGTCCCTGGAAAGCCTTATCAATAACAAAACTAGAAAAATCTTTTAGTTCAGAAATTGGTTCAAACCTGTACCATGAAATCCATGTTTTATACTTAGTGGCCCCTCACAGAAGAAAATGGATGTGCTGCACCATCAGGCTTTGAGTTTGGAAGGGAAAGAAAGCAGCTATAGGCTGATGCCAGTAAAAGCAGAGGTATTTAACCCATATACCTCAAGTCTAATGGAATATAGGTCTCATTAATGTCCATCTCCCTGGCTTCCTTTATGATTGCACTCCCATAAATTATGGCTTTTTAGTCCCCTAATTCTTGATCTTAGGCCTTGACTGTTCACGCTGGAAATGAGAAGAAAATTTGGTCTTGTTAATTTCAAACACTATCAAAATAGAAGTTTTATACTTTCTTGTGTTGTATCCTGTGCACAAAAGCCTAGATGAGATTCCAGCAAAGCAATCAGAAGACACCAAGTCAGCATTTATTCTGACACCTCTGTGAACATACAAACCTAAAGTACTCTGGAGAAGGTTATATCCATGTATGGAGTATCTGAATTCCCAAAGCTATTTCATCTCTGAGATCCAATATGTATTAGATACAGCACAAATCAAACGTGGTGTTAACAGGTGAGCATTTGCTGATGAGACCTTACCTGTCAGCATCTCCGAGCCCCAGTGAAGTGTTGTGCTGCATCGTCTCCCGCACCGCAGCCATGCCATCAGGCAGCCGGTTTAGCCTTCGAGTATAGAGCCCCAGACCACCATCGGTCATATACCTTTAGAACAGCAAAACAACATGTCAAACAGGAAAACATTTATGTATTATTGTATTTTTGCTCCTATCTTCTGCATGTTTTTAACTGTATTTACAATTTCCCCACCTTTAAGTAAAGAATACTACTTGGAATATGAAGCAAGGAAAACGTCACTCTTTCTTATTGCAGAGGAAGAGTTTTTGCCTCTCGTTCTCCATTACATGTTGCACTCTCTCACATCAGTAAGAATTGAATTTCAACGCATTTCAACAAAGGAAGAATACTTAACTCTCATTAAGGTTGCCTAGCTGGAAGTAATTTAATATTTGTGAATGCTATCATTGATGATCTCTTCCTGTCCAAAAAATGCGTGATTTATATATACCCTCCTGAACTCTTTTGTGTGGGCTAAAACACCATGATGGAAATCTCAACCCTTTGACAAGTTAACTGCAAAAACCACATTGAATAAATACATCCTAGATTTTGCCAACAATGAGTACCCCAAGATTTACGGTGGGAAATCAAAGTTGCAGCATGAAAGGGAAGCTTTTTTCAACCTTGTTTTGGCTCCTACATTGTACTTTGTATGCAACTGTGGCCTAGAGACATCTGCATTTAAAAAGTGTTACTGTTCTTAGATATTAAGTGCCAGGTGTATATATGATACCTTACAAATTGCTAAATAGCATTTTCTACTTTAGACAAATGAAAAATTAATCTTAAATTGAACAGAGATGGTGGACAAGAATAGATAAATGTCACCAGGAGCAATTCCTCACAGTAATGCATGTTGTGCCATTCAGCACTTTTGCTGAAGTCTGTACCGATGCAGACAGCAATAGTCATCTTGTCATTTAACTTCAGGATGTGGTGATAACCAAGGCAAGGAAGCTTTAAAAACTGTACAATTACCCAGCACTTTGGTTTATGAGTAAAATGTTTTAACATATTAATACTAAAATTAAGAAGTTGAAGAGCTGCTCCACGAGCCGCCCTGCATCAATATCTCAATAACGCTTTTAAACATTTTGCAGCATTTCACAACAGTAGTTCCAAGTCAGCTCCAAGTGGCAGAATAACACAGGAGGATTTATCTTTTGTCATTTCTGACTACAGATATATGCAAGGTAGCTTTAAACTAGAAAGTCAAGCCCCCTTTGCCTCTCAAGACGCTGGCATGGAGTGAGCTCTGTGCTACCACCGCCAGTTCATCAGCGCGGGTACATCTCCATGAGCATCACTGACAGTTTTTAGACACCCGAGACTGAACTAACTCCAACAACCCTGGCAGTACAGTTATTGTCTCTGGCATACTGCTGGATGTATAACATACCTCACAGAGGCTGGAGCTGATGGGGTTGTATCCTCTTAATCCTTTAGCCCTCTTAGCAAATCGACAACAGCCCACAGAATAATATCCAGATACGCAGGGATATTCCTCCTTCTTATCAAGGCACAGATCTTTTTTCCTAATGGCAAGCACCCTCATCCACAGTAAGGAAGGAAAGATGATCCTAGCTGCAGCCAGCAATGTCTTTGCTGGCAAGACGTTACTGCAACAGATTACTTCACCCAAGTCAAATCCAACCACTAAATTTATCTAAACAGGCTGGTAAAGAGTCAAGAAGTCTTGCACAACCTGCTGGTTAGTGTTTCAGATGTATAAATCTGTACAGGGCCTTCCCAGGAACAACCCAGGAGTCTCCCTGGGGAATCTAACAAAGAGGTTGCTAAGGCTGTTAAGTCAGACATGAGAGCATTCCCCATTCAGCAAATCCATGGGGACACAATTCTCCAAACTCTTAAAAAGCCTGTAAAAAGCATGAGCAGCAGTTGCACTCTAACTTGTGTGGAATTCGCCTTAGGTCTAGCATTCTAACTTCTGTTTGACGTAGTACATAAATATTTTATCGTGGAAGAATATATTTTTCCTTTGAGCTACTAAAATAAAAGTGGATCCTAAGACCATATTGTTATACAAACATGCAAACAGCATTCTGCAAAAACATCTAATGCACATATACTAATAGGTTCACTGCAGATACTTGTCTGCACATGAAACATGTTTCTGTATGAATACCCATTGTACACATACTAGAAAACACAGCTTTTGGCTTTGCTGTCAGATTTCTGGCAGATTTCTAATTCTGATTAGTCCTTTGATAAAAAAGATCAACTACAGCTGAAATAGATTGTTCTCCATGATTATTACTCAAAATAGGTGAAATGAAATATATTACTAGTTAGCCATGCTGAAATCAATGGAATGCTTTTTCACTACCATCAACAGGTTTCATTCGCTATGTAGAAGCTCAGCAAGCTGATCCACATTAGAATGCATATACAGATAGAATAATACTGCAGTTGTATCCAACTGAAAACTGGCAGTCAGATTTCCATAGATCCTTCACAAGTCAATGGAAGTTGGATGCTTCTGTCATCTTTGACAACTATATTTTAAGTTTTTCTAACCAAGACTCTAAACACAAGCACATAGACAATGAATGACTCTTACCCACTATACCAACAGGACAAACTGCTTAGAATATAAAATAGTATTTTGAAACAGGTTTGTGTAATCACAGATTGAAAGCTTTCTATCTTATTTTCATTACATGTGATGTCCTCTACCCAGGAATGTTTAATTCCAGAAAGGCGCCAAAACTAACAATTCCTTAAGTCCTGCATGCAACAGTGAGGTGAAAGAAAAGAAGGAAAGGTACTAGCTTCTAGATTCTGTGGGGAAAAACACATTTACAGTAAATACACTTTAAAATAAATGAAAAAAATAACCCCCACCCTCTATTATTTATTGTACAGAGGAGATTAAAAGTTCTGGTGCCACAAATCTCCAGCTGTTGCTTTCTTTTCCTTCCTCTCCATCCCCTCAAACTTAAATCTGTCTTGGCTCTCAGAAACCATCTTGCCTCTATCATTACAGCATCATAACTGCTGCAGATTTTTCCTTTATGAGATAGGAGAATATAATGAAGGTATATTTTTCTGAAGACAATCTTAGAAGGTTTCACTCAGGGAGGAATAAACCTAAAAATATATATCCTGCATGCATGTAATTCTAATAGAATTCATAGCCCTACATACATCTACACAATATGGAATGCCAGTACACTAGCCTCTCCTCTGCAATGACACACTGCAGTTATCGATGATATGTCAAATCTTTGACTTTTCTTATTACAAAACATGACAGACTTGTACTAGATGCCTTGCTAGATTTATGAATCCTAAGAACTACTCAAGCTCATTCAGAGCAAAACCAAGCATTTCAAAGTATTTTCCTACCTGCCCCAAAATAAGAAGTTTAAACATATGATCTGGGAAAAAGCATAGTATCCAGACTCTGTGACTCTAATACAGATGGGTGAATAGTACATATTCAAAGAATTTAATCACCCAGATGCTTTAGGAATGGTACAAATAGCCAGTGGGGAATAACTGCCTTTAATGAAGTCCAATATAAGCATACTTAATAAATGGACAGTGATGATGTTGGTTAAATTGAGTTTTTAATTTTTTCAGGAATTAATGCTTAATTATCTATATAGTTCCACTTTTCATCAGCAAGGAAACAAAATTAACCAAACGTCTTGGATTATGAAAAGATTTATGTTAAACAAGAGCAGTATTATGCACTTCTAACACGCAAGTGGAGCCTACTTTCTAGGTGACACTATTTTTCTAGGAGAAAGTGGCTCCCTGCCCTGTATTATAGACATAATTTGCTTTGGAGTTCCCTGGACAACCTGGACCTTTAAACTTCTCTTTTCTTTAGCTGAACACACCTTTTCTATGCCTCTGAAATTTTGAATGCCTTAATAAGTCCTTCCAAGTGCAATATTTTGAGGGTATTTCTGATGCTGAAGTGATTTATTTCCCTTTCCTGAAAGGCGTGCTGAGGAAACAGGAATGGATTATGCCAGGGGTTGGTAAAATCCAGCAGTTTGAGTCACGGGACTTCTGTCCACACTCCCTACTTAACCATGTATGCACCCAGCCAACAGCACACCTACTTTTATAGTCTGACAACTCTACCACTTCATATATATTCATTTCATTCCTTAACGTATGAATATGACATTTTTTTCCAGCTTTGAAAACAGATAGCCAAGGGACGGGCATTCTTTACTTAAGTACTAGGAAGAGGAGGAGCAGCAGGTAAGTCAGCAGCACACAACAAACCAGACAAGCCTACCCTGATCTACCCAGCATCACATGGCTCTGTAATCCCAAACCCACAAGCAGGAGAGCAGCAACGTGCCCCCAAACTTAAACTGATTCTGCCAGCTTAGGTGCTCCTGCCTTCCTTCCTCTTGGTGCTTTGGATTCAAGGTTAGTTTGGGAATAGCTGCCCAAGTGCCTCTTGGTAGAAGACTTGCATACCAAGCCAAGTGCTTGAAACTTAAAGAAACACAAAGCTTATAAGAATTACAGGTTTTGGATTATTCCATGCATCAACATCTGCTTTGACATGCAAAAGTGTTCTCTTTCAGCTGCAACCCTGTTTTAGTTAGTGTTTTCCTTTAAACATGTATTTTAACTAGGCTACATCTGCCTTGTCGTTACAGTCAGTTAAACAAGATCAAGAAGCTTAACAAGCTTTGAGTATCAAAGGAGTCTAACTTTGTCAGTTGTTAAAAACCAACAGCACAAGATTCTCCACTGCTGTTTTGGAAATATGATGAATATCATCAAAATGACCCTGTTACTGCAGCCAGGAGTCAGTTCTAAATCTGAAATGCTAGCCTAACAACAGGATTATGACAACCCTGAATTTCTCAGTGTAGTATGAATTTGGTCTGTCTCCCAAGCACACCATAAGCTTAAATTCACCTTCCTCTGAAGGAAGAGGTTTGCTCCTCCACCATTTAAAAAACTTTTACAAATCTAGTCAGACATGGATTAGGCATTGAAAAGCATCCATTTAAGGTAACTGGACTTTCAAAAGCTGGAGTTAGTAGAATAAGATTATATTGATGTTTTTATATTAAATATAAATA